AAATATATTTACCCTGAATTTTAATATTTTAACATTTTAGCATTTTAAAGTCAATTAGTTAACCAATCGTGCTGTGAACTTTTGCGAAAGTAAACAACTTGTGCTTCGCGCGCTCATATGACCTTATCAGTTGCAAGCGCCGTAAAACCCTATACTACATACATACTTACATAATCCTCATCTCTCCTCTTTCTTTTCTTTGTATGTTACTCTCTAATAACATCTCTAATTTCCAGCACTTTTATGACCTGATATATTGACGAGCAAGCGCCATAAAACGTGTACTAAAACTAAGCCTAACTGGATTGCTTCCTTTTTTTCTGTGTCAGTGCCAGGTCAACATCCACCCCCACACAGTCCCGTATCCCGGTCATGCGGGGCTCTGACGTCACCACAAAGCCACACCGGGCTGGGTCAGTGTCCTCCGTGGACATGTCAGAGACAGAGGAGGAAGACAACATCAGCGTGGCCTCAGCGAGGGGATTAAAGAGTCACCCCCGCGGCAAACGTCCTAAACTGGGAGGGAGCACACAGTCTCTGGATATTATGGACTGTGAGTAGTTTTTGTTTTGGGGTATTTGGTTTGTTTTAAGTCGGGATTTTTTGGCGGGAGGGGGGGTTGCTTTGTTTTTATGGCTTTTTTGTTGTGTTGTTCTCGTACAAAAACTTTTTGTGGGTGGTTTGCGGGTGCTGTGATATGCTTTGCCTCTTCCTTCCTATCAAACATCTGTCATCCTCATTTCTCTTCCTTCTCTACTTGGTATGATACTCTCTATAACACCTTTAATGAACACTTTTAATCTCTGTAAAATTCTTTTATTTTAAACATATTGTAGTGCTTACCAACCTTTTATAGCCAACACCCATCTTAAATATGATAAAGTTTTCGCACCAGTTAAAACTGTGACAAAGCAGACTTACGGCTAGTAAGAGTTCAGCAACAATAAGGAATTCTCTTTGTGATTTTTTTTTCTTAGTCATGGAGGTTCCAAGCCTGAGCAAGGAGCTCAGCCAACAACAGGCTGAGGAGATGCTGGAGCGAGAGAGGAAGGACATGGAGCAGCGCTACCGCCTCGAGGTCACCAACCTAGAGGAGAAGCACAACACGGAGAGAAATAAGATTCTGGGAAACTTCCAGCAGGAAAAGGTTAGTATATAGTCTTAATTGTCCAAGACGGCCAATGAAATATGTGGGCATTTATAGAATTAGCTGCTGTAGCTAGCAAGGTTTGTAGCTTCTCTTCCTTCTTGAAGGTTAATGATCATCATCAGTTCTTGATGGACGATCTATCAATTTATCATATTAATGAATGAGTGTCCTAACAGTGGATCAGCTCATTTCAAAGGGGATTTTTGGTTGTTTGTTTGTTTGTGTTAAGTCTGTAAGCAGGAATTGTAGCCAAAGGAGCAGAGGATCAAGAAAGAGACTGCTTCTCATTCTCATTGTCTTTGTCCTCCTCCTCCTCCTCCTCCTCCTCCT